GGGCTAGCTAAATGGGTTCCCGGTCTTGTAACATAAATTCCTTTTAACAGTGGAAGGGTCCCTCCCATACCCCTCCCCTGTAAAAATATGAAGGTCTAAATATGGGATCTTCGATGTTAGCCAGCCCCCCGGGCAATGTACTCTTATTCAGAAATACATATAATAGAATTATAAGGCTTTTTTTCAAATTTCATCCGGGCTAGCTAAATGGGTTCCCGGTCTTGTAACATAAATTCCTTTTAACAGTGGAAGGGTCCCTCCCATACCCCTCCCCTGTAAAAATATGAAGGTCTAAATATGGGATCTTCGATGTTAGCCAGCCCCCGGGGCAATGTACTCTTATTCAGAAATACATATAATAGAATTATAAGGCTTTTTTTTCCAATTTTCTCCGGGCTAGCTAAATGGGTTCCCGGTCTTGTAACATAAATTCCTTTTAACAGTGGAAGGGTCCCTCCCATACCCCTCCCCTGTAAAAATATGAAGGTCTAAATATGGGATCTTCGATGTTAGCCAGACCCCCGGGCAATGTACTCTTATTCAGAAATACATATAATAGAATTATAAGGCTTTTTTTCCAATTTTCTCCGGGCTAGCTAAATGGGTTCCCGGTCTTGTAACATAAATTCCTTTTAACAGTGGAAGGGTCCCTCCCATACCCCTCCCCTGTAAAAATATGAAGGTCTAAATATGGGATCTTCGATGTTAGCCAGCCCCCCGGGCAATGTACTCTTATTCAGAAATACATATAATAGAATTATAAGGCTTTTTTTTTCTAATTTTCTCCGGGCTAGCTAAATAGGTTCCCGGTCTTGTAACATAAATTCCTTTTAACAGTGGAAGGGTCCCTCCCATACCCCTCCCCTGTAAAAATATGAAGGTCTAAATATGGGATCTTCGATGTTAGCTTGGCAATGTACTTTATTCAGAAATACATATAATAGAATTATAAGGCCCCGGGCAATGTACTCTTATTCAGAAATACATATAATAGAATTATAAGGCTTTTTTCCCAATTTTTTCCGGGCTAGCTAAATGGGTTCCCGGTCTTGTAACATAAATTCCTTTTAACAGTGGAAGGGTCCCTCCCATACCCCTCCCCTGTAAAAATATGAAGGTCTAAATATGGGATCTTGGATGTTAGCTAGCCCCCGGGGCAATGTACTCTTATTCAGAAATACATATAATAGAATTATAAGGCTTTTTTTTCCAATTTCAAGATCTAAATATGGCTACCCCCCGGGCAGCTATAAAGCTTTTTTTCCCAATTTTGATGGGTTCCCGGTCTTGTAACATAAATTCCTTTTAACAGTGGAAGGGTCCCTCCCATACCCCTCCCCTGTAAAAATATGAAGATCTAAATATGGGATCCACGATGTTATCCAGCCCCCCGGGCAATGTCCTCTACTTATTAAAGCATTATACGTTTTTTTTTCCAATTTTGACCGGGCTAGCTAAATAGGTTCCCGGTCTTGTAACATAAATTTCTTTTGAAAGTGAAAGGGTCCCTCCCATACCCTTCCCCTGTAAAAATATGAAGATCTAAATATGGGATCCACGATGTTATCCAGCCCCCCGGGCAATGTACTCTTATAATTATAGCATTATACGTTTTTTTTCCAATTTTGAATAGGCTAGCCAAATAGGTTCCCGGTCTTGTAACATAAATTCCTTTTGACAGTGGAAGGGTCTCTCCCATACCCCTCCCCTGTAAAAATATGAAGATCTAAATATGGGATCCAGGATGTTATCCAGCCCCCCGGGCAATGTACTCTTATAATTATAGTATTTTACTTTTTTTCCAATTTTGATCGGGCTAGCTAAATAGGTGTCCGGTCTTGTAATATAAATTTCTTTTGAGGTTTGAAAGGTCTCTCCCATATTCCTCCCTTGTAAAAATATAAGAGTCTAAATATGGGATCCAGGATTACCCCGGGTAATTTACTCTTATGTACAAATACTTTTTTTTCCAATTTTGACCGGGCTAGCTAAATATTCATCATTTTGGTCAGGCTAGCTGCATTGGTTTGGGGTCCTCACTCTTCTTCTTTAAGTGATGTCTTTGCTTTTCTTCTTAAACACGGATTATAATGCGTTATTAAAGTTTTTTGAAAAAAAATTATTCTAGGACATTTACGGTAATTTGAATAGCGAACGGCAGACAGCCTGCGGTTCGCCCATCGAATGGCGAATAGCGAATAGCGAATAACCGTCCAACTTCTGATTCATTAGATTTTAGTGATAAATCTAAGTATGTAATTTGTGTTGATGTTGAAAATGCACAAAATATGATGATTCATGATGACCTCAGATTGTATTAATTAATGAGAAAAAAATCTCACGACAGAATTATTCAAAATATCATTGCTTTAAAAATAGTTTGTTTAATTATGTAACATGTGTCAAACATTTATGCGTCATATATTTATTGAAAATGGTGATTTTCAGAGGACTCAAAATATGACAAGGAGCGATATACGATTCAATCTAAACTTGTTTTTAAACAATTCTAAATAGTCAAAATAAATTTGCCAAATATTACAACTCGAATGAAAAAATTGGTGGCGTTTTTAAAACCTAGAATGAAGCAATGTTATCACATTTTTTAAATATTGACTTCTATAAAGAAATATCTTTCTCATTAGAGCTAAAATGCATTTTATTTAGAAAGTTTTATATATATTGATCATGAACAACATTTTCCTTTCTCTTTTAACATATCATCAGTTATCATTAAAATCATTTTTTAAACATATTTTTATTCAAAACGTGTTCCTCAAATGCTTATATCTATTGTTATAAAAGAAAAAAAATTCGCGTCATAAAACATTCTGGACTTTCGGACTTTTGCGAGAACCACCGAAATTTATAGAGTTGTGGAAAGCTCCCATGGTATTATCCGCTGGCAGCAACGCGACACACAAAGTAGTGGTTTCCAATTTTCACTTTGTTGGTAGCTCTCCACCACCTATTTGATGTTGTTGAATGACAAGGATCAAAGGCGCAGTAATCTGTCGCACATCTCGTTGGGTCTCTCTGCCGATTACATAATGCGTCACCAGACGCTTTTATTGCGTTTTTGTATTCCTGTGTATTTCTTCTTTTGGCGTCGTTCCAAGCTCGGGTGTGGCCTGGCATATCTAACGTGTCGTACTGGTATTTTCTGCTATTTGTTCGCCTCTGGTACACCACTCCGTTGATGGTGTTCGGATAAGCTTGATGATTTTTCCGGTTGACAATGGAGTAAGCAACAGCTAGTTGTCCTCTCATCGGTTCTCCTCGGGCTTCTCCGAAAACGACCCTAGCGACAGTGTTGATGTTTGTGTTGGTACTGTTTAAAAAATAATGAAAAGAAAATAAGAAAAATAAAAATTATGTTTAGCATTAATCTTTTTATTTGAGAAAAAGCCTTTTTTTATCTCTCATTGTTTAGTTCTGCTGATTGTATACACAAATACTCTGTTGATATTTTAAAAAAGTGCTCGACTTTAATGCATGTTTTTGAGACGAGGTTCTCAAGCAATCTATTCGAATTCCCAACTGCGCACCGTTATTAGCATTCCTAGTTTTTTTATTCATATGAAGAAGAATTCGTCCGAAATTTTATGAGTGAAAACAAGAAAACCATTGCCGTGGCCTTCAACTCGACATTTAAATATATCAGATGTATTGTCACTACCAATGTTTTTTTTTCCATAATTCTTATGTCAATACGATATTTCCCGGTGAAATAAGAGAAACCAAAGAGTCTGACATCTGTTTCATATTTAAATATTTTACTTGATAAAGACGTTAGTGGTAATCTAACAACCAAACTTTATGATATAGGTGATGAATTAAACTATAAATTTTCAATCGTCAATTTCCCTTTCCCATGCATCTATTTTTCACCTGCATGCGAGATTTATATCTCTCAGTTGATTCCAGACGAAATAGAAGGCTCAACGAATGAACAATTTTTGTTTGCTCTGCTCCTATTTTGTATTGTTTAATGGACTTCTGAGTTTGAATGCTCTTCGTTATATCTATATGTTCGTTCAATTAAAAGATTAAGGTATAAATAAACAAGAGCAAAAACAACAGTAACGTTCAATTTTCATCTATGATATATAAATTCACTCACCAGATTTGTCCGTAAACTATCCATGAAGAGAAAGCTAACCCTAAAACGATATATCTAAACATAATTGAGTTTAGCTTTTTTGGCGGAATCTGACCGTTAATTTTCTTTTTATAGGGGCCTTCATCAGCATGTATTTATAAGAGGAGGTCATTATCTTTCATACGTGACATGCTAAAGGCGGAGAAAATATAATGAAAACAAAGTAGGAACGTCATCAAAAATGACAATTATTATGATTTCGATATGTAAAAAATAAAATACACATGATTCATAGTTTTAGCTCACCTATGCTAAATAAGTAAATAAAAACATCTTATAACAGAGTGTTCAGCATCTGTATGTTTATCCATTATGTGTCTGTAAACATGTCTCTTCTTTTTCTTGAGCTCACTCAGGATTACAATCAAACGAATTTGACACATTTCGTACAAATGCAACGCATTCTTTCGAGAGGAAACAAGAAAAATTCAAAGCTACTCTTTTGTATGTTCAAAACTTGTTGTTAAACTATGCGAATTCTTAAGGATAGAAGACACTAGTATTATTTTTAATTATTCGCAAAGAGTTTTTAATGAGTCAGTGCAAAATAGAAGCAAATCGAAAACGACATCTGAAACACCGGAGTTGGGATCACTCTAATAATAAGTTTTCTTTTATTAGAACTCGAGGTAGTAAATGTAGCAATTTTTTGTCCTTTTCAACAAGACTATATGGTTGCTCAGTTTCCTAAGTAAGTTTACCCTTCATCTAATGATGTCACGTTCCAGCAATGTAAGACAAGGAAAGCAGGAGTTAAACTTTTTTTTACTGTAATTATTCGTAAGTTACAAGATGAAAACAAGTTTATTTGTTCAGTTGCAATAAATTTTACGCTCTGTTTTTAAATATGTACTTTTGTTTATTCGATAAAAATACGTAATACATCGTTGTATTGTTCAAATTATATTGATTTACAAATTAGACATCAAATGATTTTAATGTGCTAAAAAGGTCTGAGAGTCGTTGTTACACAGCTTTTTCCAAGTTCGTAAATCTAATATTGTAATATACTGCTGTCTCAACGTTTGATTCTCGTAATTTTAACCTTCCTCTTCAATACTTAGTGAACCCATCCTTTATCTCTTCAGAGAAAGATTTCCAAAACAAAGCTGTTCTACTCAGGTGGTTCTGTTGCTGGGAAGGAACTGGAAAGTAAAGATTTATTTGTGAAATATAACTTTATCGAATAATTACAAATTTCGATAAAAGATGATAGAATGGATGCATGATGAATGCCTGTTGACTTTCGGATATATGATGACGTTAAACATTATTAGAGCATTTCTCTGCATGAAATTTCACTTATATTCTAATTTATATACATGTATAAACCCAAGGATTGAACAGTTTTTATTACATTTTTATCGAAAACTATCTAGGGCTTTAAAGATAATCGGAATTGGTAGTCAAAATAAAAACGCGGAAAACGTAGAACATTTTAACAGTTTAACAAATAAAAATGGAAATGGATTTTCTAAACAGCAATATGTCAAGATGAAATTATATTTCAAAGTTACGTATTCTATACTAAAGGAAAATTAAAAAACTTATATTATTTTTGTACAAATTATCAAACTATACAAGCGAAATACAAACAAACCTATCTGACAGTGAACATGAGTCCCTCCATGTGACCACCCCCCAGCAGCTTTACAGGCGTCCATGTAGGATTTCTCCTGTGCCTTCCGAGTAGGTCCATTGTCCAGTTCCAGATCTACTGCTTCCCCCAAATAATGTTTGGATGTAGATGTGTGGCAAGCACCTGCAATGGCATTTACCTGCAACATTTCAAACAAGTGGTATATAATCATTTAAGAGTAAAACTTTTAAAGGAGATTAATGACTGTTAATTCGAGCTTTATGACTTAATATCTTCTTCATCAAACAAGATTACATAGTGTATTTGTTTTAGCTATATGTTTACTCTTATGTTTAATTATATTTCCAATGCATTTTTATATTTATACATTAAGCGTTTCTCCTTTGCCAGTTAACAAAGCCTTACCTGAAAATTGTACTGAGTAGATGTTCCAAGATCATAGATATACCGAAGAATGCTGGATTTTAAGCAAACAAATCCTCCTGGAGAATTTCCTTCACTGCAAGTGTAACTACAAGTATTCATGTATTTGTGAATGTATCTTAAATCTGTTGTAACAAAAGCAATAGGCAGAGACACATAATTCGTTGCCATTCAATACCCACTTGGATCGTTTGGACGGCTTTCCGTTACAGGCGTCTTCTATGTTATGGTAGGCGTCGGCACCATCATCCACCCCAGAGGGATTCTTTGTCAACAATTCTATTTTGGGGGTGGTCTTTATTTTGCAAGCAATTGATTTTGCTAAGCTGCTGCAACTTTCTAAAATGTAAAGCGACATTAGATAAATAAAACATTTTTTCTATTTTCCCGAACCTGGAATAGAAAACATGGAATTCTTTTTTATTATTATTGTTGTGATTATACTCGAAATGTTGTTTCCTGTTGTTAACAACTGTCTTATTATATCGTACAAAAGTGGCAGATAGACGATAAGTAAGTTTCCTCTTCTCTTGATGTAAAT